TTTGGCCGAATATCTTGGAGACTGTCATCTAGCTAAATTGACATATAAAATCAGCCATCACATGGCTGGATTAAAAAGATGTGGTAGATATACACAATGTAATATTACTCAGCATTCAAAAAAGATTAACATATGCCTTTTGGAGCAATATGGATGGAGCTGGAAGGGATCATAATTAATGAAATAAGCCAGAAAGAACAGGAGAAATACTGGATGGTTTCACTCATAGCAGGAGTATAAAGGACCAAGGGAGAAGATGATAATAACAATGAACAACTGTATAGCAGAGACATTTTACAGGGGTGGAGTGGGGAATGGGATGAAAAATGGTGACGGGGAAGTGCACTGGACTATGGTGATGGCACACGAGTGATCTAGTGATGGGAAACCCAGAGGGATTACAACTGAGATGGAAAAGGCACAAAATGATGTAAAAATGAACTATTATGTTAATAAAAAAAAAAAAAGCCAATCAGCCAAAACAGAATTGAATCATCCTGAAGTCATTTAGTTCAAATGTGCCATCAAAAGGGGTATGGCTAAGCAGTCCAAGAATGTTTGCTGCCCTTTTACTGATATATAATGCTCTAATAGAGCAGTCTAACTTAGTGGGAAGCTTTGCTTCTAACTGGCCACTCACCAAACTTACATTTTTCCAGATAAAGCCATAGCTGCAGATTAACAGCCTTGTCAATCCTGTCTAAATGGCACAGGGACATAAATGGCAGGACCATCCCTCCTGCCTCAGATTCTTGTGTTTTCCTCTGAGGTATGAAGAGCTAAGCTGGCCATCCATTGAATAGTTAGCAGTGGCTTGTGCTATTCATTTTTTCAAATTTATTCAGGTAGTAAATATCAAGTGTGAACACTTATTCTAAATCTGTCATATCAACACTTATTCATTCAAATAAATTCTCTTCCTCAAAGTGATGATTTACTCCAATGATTGCCATTAGTTACAGCATTTTTGAAATTCTTTAGAAACTCCTTTTACAAATGGATGCACATGAAATTCTTTTTTTT